TGCGCTCCTCGCAGCTGCCTTGCAATCTGCTGCTCTCCCCGGGGCGAGACCTGCCTGGCGCTTGGTGGTGGATGGCACCCGGTGGGTACTCATTTCCTTTTTGTGAAAACTTTTTGCGAAAACTTTTTGCAAAATTACATAGGCTGTTACTTGTCCTCCTTTCTCTTCCAAAAGTCCATAGTTCTGGCACGTGGCTGAATGATTGTGGATCCACTGGGCTGCTCTGGATGATTGTATGTGTGCTCTTGATCTGCGGCGAATGGTTAAACCTTGAAGGAGTAAATGTGCTTCACTCCAAGCTTGCAGTGGCCTAAGACAGCGTGTGTGGTTATTCAGTGGTGTTCAGACGATGTGTGGAAAGTCTTTAAACTGACATATCTAAAACTTGCAATGCGTGTCTAAATGCAAAGCTCGGGGAGCTTTGGAACCACACAGGGAGCTGTGACCAGGTCTACTCTGAAGCGGTGCTGCCACCACTGTGTTATTTAGTGGCATGGAAAAAAACCCAAACACTAGCTCTGCTGGAAAAACCCTAACTTATCTGCACAGGTAAATCAGGTAGGTTAAGGATAAAATTCCTCCTCTGTGGAGAACTAGTTTACAGCAGAAAGACTTCCTTTGCTAAATGAGCTGAGTGTCTAGGGGAGAATTTGTTGAAGGCGTTTGCTTGTGTAGCAGAGATACAAAGTACAGGCAAGTAATGAGGGTTAAATGGGTCCTGTGCACTTCTGATTTCAGGCAAATACCAGAGCATTCTTAGTGAAATAGAAAAAAAGATGTTGTCTGAGCCAGGATTTGATTCCTGAAGTTCTGCTGAGGAGGTCTGTGAGCAGACTCCAAGAAGTGAAACAGATTGCAGTTTGATCCCGGAGAGAACAATTGGGGAGAGGAGGGCAAGAGCAAACTGTTAAATAACAGCTGGGAGAAAAGCCAGGCTCCAAAAATAAACATTGAGGATCGATTCCAGGTATTTCCTGGTATTGTCATCCTGCTTCATCAACCACTTGGACCATAACAAGTGGTTTCCCAGTTAGCAGACTGACAGGTTTAGGGTTGTTTGTTGTTTTTTTTTTAAAAAAAAAAAGAGAAAAAGAAGTGTCTGATAGGTTGTTTGCAGTGTTGTTTCTTACGCAGAACTGGGTGGGATGTTGGTGATGAAATACCCCTGGGATGGAGAAAGCAGAGCTTGTTATTGTGAGAGGGAAGTAACAGCAGAGTCGGCTTCGTTTCGGGGGAGTAAAAAATCTGAATTTTCTTCCCAGTTACGTGGCCAGGGCACCTCAGCGATTCCTGAGGGGGGGGAGGCAGGTACTTGTGCAAAGTCAGTGTGAGCAAACACTGTCCTGCAGAGCAGTTGTGCCTCACTAGGTCTGTAGGTAGACTTGGAATGGCTTTACAGGTAACGTTTGCGAGCGAAGACTTCACGTTTGAAAAGCTTGGAGGTGACTCTGAACATGTTTCTTCTTGCAAAGGTTCTGCAGAAAGCCAGTACAGGAGTTACTGTACCGAACGCTAGGGCGGGGATTGTAAGGAAATTGAGGCATATCCTGTTCCAAGGACTTGCGCTGGCTGTCGCACGCCGTCTCCTTGCTGGAGTTCCGTCCTGGACCGTGACTCCGAGAATCAGACCGTACAGAAACCTGCCTCGGCGGGCTGGGGTTGGCCCGGGCGGCCGGCCATGG